CCCCCCCCCCAAAAAAAAAAGTTAAATTAACATGTCTGAGGCTCATTGAGATCCCAGAGTAAGCACTGGCTCACTGTGATGCAGACTACTCTCCTCCATGTACACCTTCACAATGCGATTAGGCACAGGGACAATTTTGTCTTACATTTCTGATCTCACAGTTTTATGAAAGGGCGTAACTGCAAACTGTGGCATGCAGGATAAGGTGCTCAAGTCTGTCAACTTTTTGGATCAAGGGAAAGGAAAAACCATATTAATTACCATTTCTGTGCTAGTATTCAGTGACTATCTGAAACCTGGCCACTAATTACAATTTCCATGCTACTGTGTAGCTACTATGTGAAACAGCGACTATTACCCAGTGACTGTTTACAGTTCCTGTGCTAGTGTATGGTTAGTATTTGGGACTTGGCCACTATTTACAATTTTTGTGCTATTATCCAGATACCATATGAGAGACAGCCACTACCTGCAATTCCTATATTATTACCCACCTATTATTTGAGACCCAGTCACTATTTACAGTTTCTGTGCCAGTACCCCTGTATAATTAAAGCTCTTGTTTGCAAACATTTATGGTTTGTTCTTTCGAGACATTTGTGTTTTCTCCGCAAGAAACTTACCACAGTTCCTCACGTGACCGCGTAAAAGTGTTCTCTCATTTTTAAGATTCAAAGATAATGAATCTGAAGTCATGCTGTTTGTTTAACTTTGAATTATTTAGGTTTTTATTTCTGGTGGTGGATGATAATTTTAAAATGTAACATAATTAGAACAGAAATGTACAAATGTAACAAGGCAAGCAAATGGTACAGTTTACAGTTCAGTGTGATATGATTGTATATTTGTATTCTAGTGTGCTAGAATGACTGTCTGGGAGACAATGCATATGACATGCCATGCATGTTCATTGTACATAGGCTTCTTTCCGTGGCATTTCTTCACCCAGTGTGTCTGGCCAATGCATGTAGTGTTGATAATTAAATATCATTTGAATGGAATCGGATTATTTTTTTTATTTCACGCCTTAGCTATGATTTTATATTTATGTTGAACTTGATTTCTACTCGGAGGGAAGAATTAAGTACCAAGGACAAAAGTGAAGTCTGAGCCGGGATAGCTCAGTCAGTATAGTGACTAGCTACGGGCTGGGCGACAGGTTCGATCCCCGACGGGGAGGAGGATTTTTCCTCTAACCTCTGCATCCAGACCGGCTCTGGGGCCCACCCAGCCTCCTCTACAATGGGTACCGGGGTCCTTTCCCGGGGGTAAAGCCGGCCGGGGCGTGATGCTGACCACACACCCCCATCTAGTACCGAGGTCAAGAAAGAGAAGAGCTATACCTCCACTCACCCCAAGCGCGTAGTGGGACAAACTTTACTTGACAAAAGTGAAGTAACGGGGGCAAAAAAAAGTGTAAGTGACTTCACAGTTTGTTTGTTTTTTATATGACTTAATAAAGAAGAATGAGATTTTAGTTTTATAAAGAGGTTGACCAAACCAATCAGTGAAGAATTACCCAATGGCATAAGTAAATATCTGGTCTGCCGAACAAACTGGTCTCATTATGAAGATGGTATAGAAGAAGTTGCTCTATTGGATGATTTTATTCAAACTGTAAACGAGGAAGACTAACAAAGAATTTGAAGACCAATGCAAACCTTGGACTCATTATAATTATTGTTGTTGGTATGATCCAATTAAGACCGATGAGTGGTGGTGCATGAAGGAGATGAGAAATATATGTACAGTTTTAGTCAGAAAACCTGAAGTGAAAGTTTGTAACACGACGTAGACAGGGTAATGGAGAAGTGGTTTGTAATGGAAGAGGATACAGACTGGATTAATATACCTGGGATTGGGTCCAGCAGGGGCTTTATACTTAAAAGATAGGGAATTTCTTATCTAAAAGTTCGTGACGATGGTGAGTTATTTAAATAAAAAAGTACTTTGGATAATTTCCATCGTCATAAAATAGAAACTACGTTTCTATTTTATTATTTTACTAGACGATGGAAAATATCAAAGAACTTTGTAATTAAGATAATTTATTTATTAACTGAGACGGACTCTGCTTCGTGGCTTTAAAATAATGATTTAGACGAGTTTTGTGCTTGAAAGGTTAAAAGATACGGCACACCTGGCCGCTGTTAGCAGTTGAGCGTCAGCTTACCTCATTCATATTTTCATCATGATTTTGCTTCTCTAGAAAAAGAAAAAAAACTTGAGGCATAAAACAAGGAAAGTGGTTGTTTGTCTGGACCACGATGTAAACTAAAACTGAAGAGATGAATGACTTTGAAATGCTGTCACAACGATTGAACGAGTATTTTTTCAAGTGATGAGAATTCCAAGGAATTTCTTGCCCTTCCGAAGAAGGCAATGCCCGAGAGTGACCTGGACGCTTCCACATAGCGGTTCTGTGTTTGTTTACTGGCTGTACCACGACTTGAATTAATTGATTTTTTTGACGTTACAAACGCAGAGCAGGAAGGAGATTAAAAAGTAGCTACGGAAAATATAATTAAATAACACTCCGTGGAGCAGAGTCCTGCTTGAGAAGCTAATAGTCGTTATTATGGAACCCAGTTGTTCAATATTGGTTCATAAGATTTCGGCCCTGGACCCCAACCGAGTCAGTTCAATCAAGACCACAACCCTACCTATTTTCTTAATATCAGTTTGAATATTATCTTCCTTTCTAAGCTTAGGACTCCCAAGAAAACTTCTCTGCTCACGTTATCCATCTAAAATTTTGTATTTCTCATGTTCCATGTGTGTTCTACAAACCCACTCATCACGCCCTTCTTGATCTGGTACCCGAATTATCGTAACGGATTCTTTCCACCCTATCACGTCCTCTCCCTTACATCCAAATATTCTACTCTGACACCCTCAATATGTTATTCGCTGTGAAATTAACCGTTGGCTTTCTGAATTATGGAATATGGAGTGATAATATCAGAACGAACAAATTAAGTTCTTCGCGTTATCCGGCGTTTAAATCTCCGAACTTCTACTGCAACTATCACTAGCATATGTTTTCAAGTTACCAAACGACAGAGTTTCCTTTACTTCGTTCAGCAGAAGTAAAGGCAGAGAATGTGAGAAACACTAGGACGCCACTGTAGGTCAGATCTCTTGTTAAACTGAAGGTTCGTTCTGCCAGCCACCACACTCATCTTCACTGGCATCCTTCCAGATACAAGTCCTAAACTGTAACTCCCACGGAGCAGAGTTCATCTTGAAAAGCTGACAGTTTCTCAGATAGTCAAGACATTCTCCACCTTTGCACTGTGAAGGTGCATTACTGTTTTCGTAACAACACGCCACTAGCCCATATCCTGAATTAGTTCTACCTACTCCACACCCATTTTAATAATATCCATCAACCTATGCCTCGGTCTCCGAAGCGGTTTCTTCCTCAAATTTTCAAATTCAGATTTGTATGGCTTCTCATATCGTCTATGCACACTACACGTCCCGCCCACCTCACTCTTCTTCACTTGATCACACAAATAACAGGTCTATTTGATGAGGAGTTCAAATTATAAAGTTTATCTCAACCTTCCTGTTATTTCTTGCTTCTTAGGTCCAAATCTTCTTCTCAGCTTCTTGTTTCTCTTTCCGTTTAACAATGGCAGAAGAATTGTCATCAGAGTGGTAACATGGATTGCAATATGCAACAGCAGATTTGTATCAGCAATAAATGCACATCGATGTGAATGAAGTTAAAACAACAACAAAGAACTCGTTTTGGTTAATGTATGTGCGGTCCAGTCTTTATGGATCAGACTGTGATGTGGTCAGGGCCAGACAGACTACTTGTTGCAGTTCAGAATATAATCTTCCCAGCTTTGGTCGTCGTGTTCATTTCTTGCAGCAAAACTAACCAATACCACGGATATCACAGCGTATGGCTATGTTCTACGAATGAATAGCACTGACATTACATCTCATATAGACTAATTCTTTTCCCTTAATATTCATCACGGAGGAAACTATCAGCCCAATAACCAGGTATCCTAAGGACCACTTTTCATGTTTCAAGCCCCTCCTTACAAGTGGTGGGACAGTGATCATATACGTAGAGACGGTCACGAACGGCTCCTTACACATCCAAATTCATTATTTATAATCATTCCACACCAAGTTATATAGGCCTTGATTTTGAATGCGCAGTTAAGCAACTCATGAATCAATCAACAGGCCTACATCAAACTGAATAACAGACAGACAAGCGTGAAACAGTAGCTCCTACCAACAGATTCAGCGCCATCTTCTCTAATGAAAGATAATATGATTACAAGTTATGAATGTTTTGTTTTGAGGGATGAATCTAAAATTTATAAAAAAAAATCCTCATTCTGACAGACAAATTAACCAACGAGACGAAGGGAAACGCAGGTATGCTCCTCGTGTTGCCTCGATTTTACTTCAGATTTGAGTGCATCTTGAATATCCAACTAACGCTGCTGTTAAGAAACTCCGATGACGGTGATAATACTATTCTTCCTTTTTATCCCTTAATATTTTCTCTCTCTCTCTCTCGTAACTCTGGGTTGACCTTCTGGTGAGTTCATTGTCTGCTCGTCCCCCTCTTCACAGCTAATCGCCCCGAGCCAGAACTTGAAGCCCATATATAAGACAAGGGCAGTGCCATCTCCGGACATTACATTTAAAGTTCGTCAGTTCGGAACACGGAACAAAAACACCGAAAGGGCAGGTAAGTGACAAAAGAACTCCACTTTCAGAAGTGTAAAACGAGAGTGAAAAATTGTTCACATATTTTCATTCTTCATTGACATTCACTTACTGAAGATAAGGTTGTTTCTGATAGCACCAACTGCCATGCTAAGTGGGAGATGGAGGAAAAGCTCCACTCATTCTTAACTTTGGCATTACATGAAGGTGAGTTACCAGCTTCATGTTCAGACTGCTTTACTCCTCAGGAAAATCCCCCCCCCCCCCATATCTAACAGACGGAAGGTTGGGAGGACCACATTGGATGAGTCCCACAGACAAAAATTTGACCTTGCCAGGAATCAAACCCAGCCATCCATTCATAACATATCATGAAAATATCCTGACTCTTGATGTTCACTTAGTGCTTGAGATTCATTTGTTGCAGATAAAGATGTTATTTTAACAACAGTACATTCATAAATATTATTCTTCCCACATATTTTATTAAGTATACAGGAGCTTACAATATGGAAAAAAATTAAAATAAAATTTGTATTTTAATTATAGGGGCTTACAATATGGAAAAACATAAAAATAAAAGTTTTATATGTCAAATATAGTCATACTATAGACAGACAGCAAGATGCTGATGTGGAAACACAGGTTCAATTCTGGGTGACTTCAAGTGAGATTCATGGTGGATGAAGTGAAGTGGTGCAAATTTTTCTATGAGTTGCTTGGTTTTACCTGTCTAATCATCATTCCCCACTTCACACTCATCTATCACTGCAACACAAACCGTGTGGATAGCCTTGATCCTAAGTTAGGGCTTTAATCTATGACCCAGCAACTAGTTGGTCTCAAAATACCTTAATTAGGTCTGGATTTTATGTCATGTACCATATTTTGTAGCATGGACTTCTCTTTAGTAGAAATTTAATAAATACTTCATACAGCATTGATAATTAGGCTAAATGTGGTGGCATACAATTTCAGAATGGATTGGCTGCGGCTGTTAATTCTTCTGCTGGGATCTGCACTTACAGTTACTGCGCAGGTCCCAAGTTTTTGGGGTTGCCCAGAGAAGAACATTCCTATGCCAGACTTCGACTTGTCAAAAGTGAGTAAGTTTAATGATATAGAATTTGTACAGATCTACAGACAGAAAATTCATATAATTTTATGGTCTTCTGAAATAAGATAAGTAACTGACCCCATGTCTAAACATCATGTAGGAGGCACAGCTCCACGCCTTCATGCTGTAACCACTTTATCCCCGCGGAAAGGGTCGCAGGTATTGGATAGGCAAAGGAAAAAAGTCTTTACACCTGCCAGCAATTGAGCCCTGGCCATCCAGCCAATAAGTAATTGATTTACTGACTGATTTATCTCAGTAACAAACATGAGATAATCATACTAACTTGTAAAGTAACTTCACAATACAAGATTTTGCTTGAGAAACTGATAGTTACTCAACCGGTAAAGAAATTCCTTGTTAAAAACTTGACAGTTAACACTGTCACAATATAAACGTATCATTGTATATCTTAAGAAATCATACAACTATGTATAAAGCCAAGAATCCTGGTCTGTTTTAGTCTATTTATATTGTGAAGATAGATAAACTAAAAGTATTGTGATAAGTCCATCTTCTCTAATAACTTATAAGAAATGACAGATTTTCAAGAAATTTCATACATCATGCCAAAGAGCCACCCCACATTTATATATCTAAATTTGCTGCCATTTGTATGACCCACTGTTTAGGTCCCACCCTAAAACCCCAGAAGGAGCAATGAAATTGTAGTGCTGGTATCAGGATACCTTTGACAAAGAATAGGAAATGTGTATATACTGAAGACGTAAAGTTTGTCCCGCTACGTGCCATGTAGGCGCTTGGGGTGAGCGGAGGTATAGCTCCTCTCTTTCTTGACCTCGGCACTAGATGGGGGTTAGTGGTCGGCATCACGCCCTGGCCGGCTTTACCCCCGGGAAAGGACCCCGGTACCCATTGTAGAGGAGGCTGGGTGGGCCCCAGAGCCGGTCTGGACGCAGAGGAAAAATCCTCTGGCCCTGTCGGGGATTGAACCCCAGTCGTCCAGCCCGTAGCTAGTCACTATACTGACTAGGCTATCCCGGCTCATACTGAGTAGACGTACTGGCCAGTAAACTCACTTCTAAGTATGACAATCAATTTTGCTAAACTGAATTATTAGTATAAAATATGTTGAGGGTAGATAATAGTCATACACCTAGATAAGCAGTTTCCTGCAGACTGGCTATGTAGCTGGTTCAGTTATGCAAATGCTGCTTTTCCATTTGACCTCCTCTCTCTCCGTACGATATCCCACAGGGTTTCAGAGGCCAGACCACAACACTACATGGCATCTGTTTAAACTACCGAAGTGGGAACAATAGTAATGCCACTTAATGTAGGATCTACAAGTTTTGTGGGGTAGTAAAGTTTAACATATACGACACTTCTAGATAAGTCTTTTGTGGAATACCAAACAATATGGTAGCTATTGAGATCTATATTTAGCTTCTGGTTTGACAGACAGCTAAGACACCACTTCAGCTGCTAGCATCACTCATGACTATCTATAAAAAGAAACTAAACAAAAGAAGAACTAAACTTAATGAAACAAATTAAATACAATTATGTTTAAGGCATGTTCAGTTCCATTAGGTATTTTACCAACTGGCATTCTTGTTAAGAAACAAATGAACAACATATACTCAACAATGAGGAAATTCTCTATCTTGTGTTGGCCCAGAAAAACAAATTATGTTAGTATACAAAATGAACACTGGTGAATTAGTTTCAATCAATGTAGATCTTTTGCATGTTTAACTTCCCTGTGAAAATGTTAAATTGTTTCGTAAATTATAAGCTGACTGTGTAAGACTTGAGGTTCTCACAGCGGTGAATATGAAGATTTCTGTCTTCTGGGTTGTTGCGCTGTGTAGTCTGGTCGATGTTAACCAACGTTTCAGAGGTCATACTGCCTCCGTCATCGCCCTGATGACGGAGGCAGTATGACCTCTGAAACGTTGGTTAACATCGACCAGACTACACAGCGCAACAACCCAGAAGACAGAAATCATCTATAAGCTGACTCTTACCTTCTGAAATCTGGATAAACATGCTTTTGGATTTTTCTCTAGCACATATTAACAAAGGTTAATAGCCTAACTTATGACTGCAGATGAAAATGTAATAATACTGTATGGGACTTATGTGGTTGTAGAAGGATGGGGTGATGAAAGATGAGACGTTAATGGGAGATATACACCAAGGCAACTACTGTCAGTGCAATGGTTCTTCTAATTAAGCTCTAAAGAAATGTTGAGTGATGGCTCTATCACTACGATAGAAGTGTATTGGATCCATAGCACTCAGACTACAGATACACTGAAGTTCCATATAAAACATGTCATCATTGTTGCAGTTCTTGGGAGTGTGGTATGAGGTGCTGCGAGTGCCCACTCTGATGGAGGCTGGTGCTTCATGTGTCAAGAACAGCTACACTCAGACAAGTGATGGAAAGATACATGTTGAGAATGAGCTGAAGCCACTGTAAGTTACTAGAGTGCAATTGTAAATTTGGAGCACTTATAATTTTCTCTCAGCACTTAATTCTTTATCATACTAAAGAAATTCATTATTCTCTGATGAGAAGCTGTAGCCCATAACAATAAAAATATATTGAAGTTAAATTGTTAAATTAAAATGCAATAAAATACACATTTTAAATAATATATTAGTATTGAAAACTATTGAAAGAACATTCCAGTTCAAATGTGTATTTTAGTTTCCTATTTATATTATGAAATAACACAGGAAAAGGCCATATAAAAGAAAGTGAAATTATTTGGTTTTTACAATATTTGTACACAGTCCATCATTATAATCTGTTTCCATTGCAGAGGTCAACCTAAACGAGTGGTACCAGGAGAACTGAAAGTCAGTGGGAAAGCTGGCGAAGGAAAGATCACCATCAAATACAAAGTTCCAAGTAAATAACATTCACTTTGTTGGTACCATAATAAAATCAGTAGTGAACAACAAGTTGTACACCATGCACTTAGGGTATTTTCAAAATGGCCACCATTAAAACTTAAATATCTGAGAATTTGTAAATATATATGACACATGAACCCTAAGCATTCATTCCATAAGTTTGGTGCATTAAATTGTAACTATATTCTTTTAGTACATGAACAGTCCTTGGATGCTTCTTACAGACAGACATCATATGGCCCCCAAACAGAAAACATTTTTGGGTGCAAAATATGGTGACCTCAGAGGCCACTTAACCTTAACACCCAACACATTTTAAGAAGAGGGCAGTGAAAAAGGCAGTGATATAAAATTCAGCATTATGACGTGTGACTTATGTCCCTCGACATAACTCACAACATTATTGTTATAACAACCTGATACTCAGCAAAGTCCAAATATTTTCAATTTACAGTTCTACCTTCCTGGGAGACAACCTACCACATTCTGAACACAGACTATGAATCATATGCAGTTCTCTGGAATTGTGCAAGCTATGGAATAATGAATATTCGTGAGTATATATTCCTACATTTATCAGTGAAATTAAAACTATACAATCAACTCCACTGAGCAGTCCTTGTGAAACAAATACTCACTCAGCTACAAAAGAAATTTCTTAGTCTATGCAACCACAAGGTTAATTATCATGTCTGCAGCAACCCATCATTGGTTTCTATCCTGAAACACACGAATCCTGTCAAAATCCTCCTACTCTATATTGCTTACATTCCCATCTACACCTAGATCTCCCAAATGGTTTCTGACTGAAATTTTGTATGCACTTATCTTTCTCATGTACACTGCATGTCCCACCAATATCATCCTCCTTGATTTGATAAGCCTATTTGTAGAACAGCAAAAAATGTGAAGCTCATCAAGCAAATTTCTCCACCCTCCTGTTACTCAATCCCTCTTAGGTCCAAATATTCTTTTCAGCAGGCTGTTCCCAAACTATATTTGATGTAAAAGACAAAGTTTCACATCCATAAAAAACAAGCAAAATTGAAACAAGTTTTTAAACAATATTGTTTTTCTGGATTGTGTGAACTCACAGGTAGCTACCAGAGTTTCAGAGAAAAATAATGTTTCCATCTCTCAGCTGAGTTTTTATATAGCAGACAAAAGATTAGGATCTGCATTGTAGAAATCATTCCCTGAATTGAATGTTCTTAATTTCTTCATGAATGCAATTTTGATCTGTTACCATCATACCAGAATATTAATACTTTTTTCACATTACTAGCTGCAAACTGATGGTAAGACATGGGCATATACTTAGTTTCCCCTGCACTTACTTCTAAGCCAACCTCCTTCCAAGGATAAGTCAGCTTATGTATCATTCACTGTATGGTGTAGGATATTCTCTTTAAAGTCGAATATGTAGTATACCATAATTTCTGCGATTTATTCTGGCTTAAATTCCAAACTTCACTACCATAACCAAGTGTTGCTGTTGACGTGATAATCTGTAAATGGAATTTTATATAAAATATTTTTTTTCATATATTTTGTTGTATGTTTGTAACTACATATCAATATCTTTTTTCAGATGCAAAATCATGTTTCTTAAGTAAATAAAATCATACACTTCTATTAATTTTCAATTTATTTCTATTCTGAACACATTCCCATTACTTTAGTTTTCTGCATGGAAATTTACATTTACATGCACAAACAAATTTGCTTCTGCTAATGCAACTTTTGTAGGCACATTAAGTTAGATCAAAATAGATTAACAAAAGATGGTTGTCTTCTAGAATGTTGCACTGTGTAGTCTGGTACATATTGACTATTTACCAGACAAGGCACAACATACCAGAAACAGCTGTCTTCATACTTGTTGCTCCAAGAACCCCAGATCTCACCAATGACTAAAAACAAACATGATTTCTAGTAACTCGGTATTTGTTTATTGCCGATTCGTAATTATTTAACAAGGCTGTATCAATTACTGAATTACTTCCATTTCTAGTAGTAATTTACATTGATAAATAATTGCATTACAGAATCTGCGTGGTTGCTGGCTCGTGACAGAAAGCCCCCTGGCACAACTTTGCAGAGGGCATATGGGGTACTTGATGCTTATGGCCTCCCTCGGAACTACCTTGTGGAAACCAATCATGATGACTGTGATATAGTCTCAGAGGCTCCTGAAGTTGTCCCATCAAACCCAGTACCTGCTAACGCAACTAGACAATCCTCAGTCTTAGCTATCACAACTCCTGCCAAAGAAATACCCTCTGAGGTCAGTGATAATACATCTACAAAACCAACAAATGAGAAACTTGCAGAAGACAAAGCTCCACTGGAAAGTGCTGAGAGCCCATCAACAATGGAAGATGTGCCAAAGGCCCCATCTGAGACAAGTCAAGACAACAATGCGGCATCTGAAACGAATGTTACTCCTGAGAAAATTAAAATACCTTCTGATACAATGGCAGACATAAAGAATGGCAAAGTGTAGTGTTGTGTATGATGGTAAATACTATTACATTGTAGATTTTACTCCTACTTTGAACTTCATATGCACAATGTCAAGTTAATTATATTTAAATACATTTCACAGAACAGCTGAAATGCAAATTTTATTAAACATGACAGCAAAACAGCTTTTCATTTGTTACAAATCTAAACATGATGAAGTATTAATATAATTCAGAATCTACTGATAAAAGTATGCAATTGGAAAGTAAATGTTAATCATGTTTCTAATAATTGCCTGTATGTTAGCAATTAGAAGTGTTTTTAGTGTAAATGTTATGTTTCTGTTGCATCTGAATATGTATTTTGTTTCACCAGTGCATTCATATCTGTTTACAAGAATGTTTAATATTTTTCAGTATTTAGCACACAAAATACACAAGTTATATTTCTTAAGATATTAAATATATATCCCCCCTCAACTCCATTATACCAGAATGAAGACATAAAGAATTTTGTAACTCTGTATTCTAGTATTTGAAACTATGACTGACTGATGGTTCAAGCTTCCTCTATCTGATAAACTTATCAGTCCTTTAACCCCTAAAAGAGACAAATATTATGTGATACCACAAATGCTAAACATATGATCCAAGTATGCAAAACACTTTATGTACAAATTGCACTGACTCAGTTGTTGAGGTGCTTACATGAAGTGCATTTATATTTACTGCACAATTGTCTTAATGTCTTATCCATACTATGAGATACATTTTTAAACCATAAATTGTTTTAATATTATCAGGATACTTAGTACAAAGTTTTTCTTTAGCAGATCAAAAAGTTGCATGTTGCTGTGGGATATAAAAACTCACAAGTTATCACTAAAGTTCCCTAAGTAATCATATCCCGAGTTAGATCAATTTACTTCATGTTTTCACAAATTATTTTCTACAGTAACTTTTAATATTAACCACTCTTCAAACTATTTCTTTCTTACAGGCTTTTCTTTCTTTAATGATTAGTAATCAACACCCATTCTATAAAAATTATTCCTTGGTCTATAAACTGACAACAATGGCCTGGAACAAAAATTCACAAAAATCTGCATATTCCTGACAAAGTATATGCAAGTACATAAATTCCTACAGTAAATCTAACTCCATGGGACAGAATATCCCTCCAGCAATCAGTAGTCACTCATGGAATCCCTGTACTTATATAACTGAGCAGCGTCATCACACAAGCCTGCCAGTAGACCCTACCCATAAATCAATGCAGCAGAACATTTTCTAAAATTAGGGTATAAATATAAGTTCCTACAAATAACTGTAAAGTTTGTCCCACTATACGCCATGTAGGCGTTTGGGGTGAGTGGAGGTATAGCTCCTCTCTTTCTTGACCTCGGTACTAGAGGGGGGTGAGTGGTCAGCATCACGCCCCGGCCAGCTTTACCCCCGGGAAAGGACCCCGGTACCCATTGTAGAGGAGGCTGGGTGGGCCCCGGAGCCGGTCTGGACGCAGAGGCTAGAGGAAAAATCCTCTGCCCCCGTCGGGGATCAAACCCCGGTCGCCCAGCCCATAGCTAGTCATTATACTGAGCTATCACGGCTGTATCGAAAACAAAATATATGAAAGTTACAAGAGCAGCAAGAAATGTCACGAATAAATTGAGAATAGGGCATTATAATTTTGAACATGTGCAGAATTTTAATTACCTGGGTTCACAGATTAATACTATAAATTCAGTAACTAATGAAATTAAAGCACGTATTGTGATTGGTAATAGATGTTATTGTGCCTATCAGAATTTAATGAAGTCTAAAATACTGGGGAGGCAATTTAAACTGAGAATCTATAAAGTTCTGATAAGACCAGTAGTCACATATGGATGTGAAGCCTGGACATTAACTAGCTTTGATGAGCAACAACTTAGAATATTTGAACGCAAAATATTGCGGAAAATCTATGGTCCAATACGGAATAGTGATGGCTCCTGGAGAATTAGGATGAATCATGAACTAGATTGTATCATACAGGGAGCAGATATCGTGAGGCTAATCAAAAGCAAAAGGTTAGCCTGGCTTGGCCATGTTGCAAGAATGGAAGGAAACAGGGTAACTAGAAGAGTGATGGTATGGAGACCGATGGGAAGAAGGATGAGAGGGGGACCACGGAAACGATGGATAGACGACGTGGAGGAGGATGTGAGGACGATGGGAGTAAGGGGATGGAGAAGAATTGTGAATGATAGGACAGAATGGAAAAAATTCATCGAACAAGCTAAGACCCACACAGGGTTATAACGCTATAAGAAGAAGAACAACAAATAACTACCATATAACAGATTTATAGGCAGCTATAGTTAGGTTACTATAGCAAATCAAAAACTGGAACATGAACAGAATTATAAATGTGACAGTACAAATCACCCAAAAATTTATCGCACGCCACATATTCTAAATTTAAATGGCCAACTTAAGAGCAATGCACTCATATGAATTGGGAAGAACTATAAGAAATCAAAACCACTTCCCTGACAATATTTTTGCACATGACCAAATCGATGGGAATAGGTTCAAGATTTAACAAAGGATATATAAAATCCACCCTGCAGACACATCGGTACTGAACTCTTAACAGAAAAAATGAGCACAAATTACTTTTTGCAGACATTTAAAACAAGAGTATGCAGAAGGAAATGGATGAAGATGGCAAGAGGAAATATTGTGCACATACAATAAGTTGCAGTAATATTAACATACAAAAACAATGTGAGAACACAGAAAGTCAAATCTTATGTTTAGGGAAGACCAAACAAAGTGGGTGAAAGGATTTTGAAGGGCAAATACTGGAATGATCATACATGTACCAAGGAAATGGAAAACTCCAAAATTTTACGACAGCCAAACACATATATTTTAAGCACTTTTATTACATAATGTGGATATACACAGGCCACTGTTTCAATACATGAGTACAACCAAATTTCACCATCATTGTACTTGACTTTTACAACTTCAGCTTTGTTCTTCTCCAGTGTCGTCTCTTGGCATTATACCTGAAAGATCAAAGTGAACTTACACACACCGTATCAGAAACAAATCTACTGCCACATAATTAAACAAAAACTGTTGGAAGAAACCTGCCCCCTATTTTTCTTCAAACAGTTACATATATACAGGAAAGCTTGGAAGAATTATAAATTGCTAAACAATCTACCCATAACTTCTACCAGTATTAACAGAGTCCAAATATAAACAATGTGACTATTAAAAAATAGAGTAAACTCAGTTCAAGGGACTAGTTGGATACCAGAACTAGTGTGCCATACACCATTTCAAAAAACAGCATGTCCATGTTGGCGTGACAAAACTTCGATTTTTCCCCTCTTAATTTCATACATTTCTAAGAATAAAAGTCACTACGTGGAAGACATGTAACAGGTGCAAGTTTCTCTGTGAACATTTTTGCTACTTATAGGTTAAGGCCCTACGAAAACTATATCCGCGATCAACACAAGCCCACTCAGGGTAGCGAAGGAATACAAAAACTGTTTTAAAAATATCTGCAATAACGTTACTAAAACTTACCTAATCGTATTGCCCGTTCGCATTCTGACCCACTGGGGAATTGGCCTGTTTTGCTTCAATTTCTTAGCCAGTTTCCTCTTGATCCTAAACGTCTTGTGGGCAGACTGTAAAGTCATAACACGAATGAATAGATTCTTTACATTTAAAAACAACTTTATTTACAAAACACCGTAAGATTCCCTCTATACATCACGATCCCTACATAAACATATTCACTCACCATCGCTACTCTAGACACACGCTGCAGAGGACAATTTCTTAAACAGGATTGTATGCACAGATGATACCACAGACAATATTCTGTGTCTCTGTGACACACAGATAATTGTAAGAAATCTGTGATACGGTATACCATATAGAATCGATGTTATTAACCTTCGAATATCGAGATTTCGCACGGAAAATTGATTCGTCAAATCGACGAACGTAAAAACCAGTTGGTATTTTCCTTGTATGTAGCAGAAGATGGCAAGTAAATGATCAATTCGTAATCAGTTTTAAAGCAGAGGCACTTACGATAGTATAGATAGCACGGATCCCCAGTATAAAAACTGGAGAAAGGAAATTTGTCTTAAAAAGAAAAATGCTGGGTACAACGTGGTATGCAGTTCCTCTTGAAACAAAGGAACATGAATCTTTGATAAGAGGTTGTTGTCGTTTCTTAATGACAGTTGTACCTACACTATACTTTCGTGCTGGTCATCCCACAAGACTGGCAAACTGCCATCCTCAACAATGACATACAATTCTAAAAATGCTAATGTAAATAAACGAATAAACTGAATAAGATGCAATTTAAAACTAATAACTGAAACAACAATAAACAAAAGTATTTATAAGTGAAAAACATTACTGTGTGATATCCTCGATTTGACATTTGTGGGCATGTGAATATAGATGGTGATCTGGGTTGTTTTGCTGTTTGCCAATATTTCAGAGGAACATTCTGCCTTCATCTTTATCCAAAATACCATTTGGCACAAGAGCCCAGGAGTCTACCCTCTATATATTTATTTCATATTCTAGTTCATAATAACAATAAAACAATTTTAAAATAATATAATTAAAGTAAAAATACAGTATAAATTTTATTTCTTGAGGCCCCTAACAATACAAGACCCTAAGTTATAGTTTATTTAGACTGTATGTAAATTGAACAATGCAAATTAGCCTATTAAATGACAATGTCAACATTCTAAAATACACATAAAGTTTTACTTCCGATGGGTATTACAGAACTATTATCCTATAAAACCCTTGGTCCACTTTTAATACTGTTTAAATGATTGTGTTTTTTTAAATGCACTGAAGGAAATATGGTAGGTACACCAAGATTGAAAATAGATAGCTGGTAAATTCTGCACCTAAAATAATGCTTCCCAGAAAGACTAGAAGCAGTATTTAAAATCACAGCTCTCAACATTTAATTTTACTTCAAAACTGCTCATTTAATTAAAAACATTTTTATTACATGCACCTGATACTTGAAGCATGTAACTAAATATATATGAAATTAATACTGTTAAATTAACACATTCATTAACCAATAACAGCAGTCGCTCTTTGAGGTATGCACTCCCAGTATTAATGTTGGCTACAGTGTATTAACCAGTCATCAAAAAATTTAAACTTTTTCCCACATATGCCATAATATAATAAGTTTGGTGAGTAAAGTTTCTCCATGCCTAAGCACCACACCATGAAAGCAAAAGGAGGTCTAGACGAAAGCAAGTAGTCAGCTTCAGGTTTCAGCTGATTTAGTGATGGAGAAAGAGCCACTTGTACCCATTGGATAGTGGGTTGGGTAGAGTTAAGAACTGATGTGGATGTTGTGTAAGAGAGAAAAATACATCTGTCAAAAATTGTACCCTGGTTATAGGTACAGGAGCTATTTACTTTAGTAAGCTGTCAGGGCTCTTTGAGGAATCAAAATATGTACTGATTTTGTACAGACTTATACATTGATAGAAATATTCAATCTTCAAATAAGAAATACGTAATGACGATAATTTGGGTTTCGGCACCGTATGGACTGGCCGGTAGATGCTAACTTTTTGGAGAAGCATACTGTCCCCATCTTCAAGGTTGAAGTGATGATACTGGGAATGACAGAGATTATATAGGATGGCAGGAAGGGAATAATCCCTTCTATTCCCAGCATTACCACTTAAACCCTGAAGATGGAGACAGTACATTCCTCCAAAATGTTGGCATCTACCAACCAATCCACACAGTGTAAAAACTGAGATCATCATCATCATTGTCATCATTTCCACGAAAAACTAAAATCCTACAAGAAATACCTATGTTGTTTATGTTATTGGCTTATATAATAATGCTCTATCAGCTGCAAGGGTTTATATTTCTCATATTTTATTTGGTGGGTACATAAGGATTCGGAAAATAGTTACCCTCTGTTTCAAGGTTCAATCCAGATATTCAGTGGGAAAGACATATCAAAACCAGAAAAGCCTCAACCAGGGTGAAGGCAGTCATGATCGACTTGAAGGTATTATCCCAGAATATGATTTGACGAAATGAAGAAAACCATGACAAATACGACTGAGGACAGCCAGTAAACCACAAATATTCAAACTGGATACATTCCAAAATAATACAAGTAGGCTCATTATTATTGTAGAAACCTACACAGTAAAACATGATGTGTCAGTCTGTTTACCAATGGTTATTTGGCCCACAAGTTTAAAGTGGCATTTGCATGCAATGAACATGTTACAAATACTACCTGTACATAACTCTAAACACGAGAAAAGTATATTTGTCACCTCTTTCTGGTGGATTAGCTAAGTGAGAGTCGGCATGTCAGGATATGGTTGACTGAAAGGTGACAGTATCCCACTTTTATATAGATGGCAGGATAGGCAACAGGTCTCCTAGTGTTTTCAGATAATAATGTGGCAAGTTTGCGATGTTTTTCTTCGCATCTTCCAGTGTTGCTACTCCAGAAAACACTAGTAGTTTCTGGAATCCACAGTTTGTACCCAGTTGCATATCCATGGAGATCCTACAGAACAAAGAAAAGTAATGTAAAAAATAAAAATGGTAACATGGACTCCAAAATGAAACTTACAGTGGCTCATCAACACTAGAGATATTCACCGCACAAATCAGGGAAGGTAAACCTTTTCAGAGCCTGGTGTGAAGTTTATAAAAAAGATAACTGTCAATACAAATAGCTGCCAGTCATCCTTGTCACACTAGTACCACCTGGAGGGATTAAAGAGATATATAATTCTGCACATTTTTAGCCAGTTTTTCAATTTTTGGCCTGAAAATAAAATATGATTTTGTGTTTTCTTGTAGCTATCCTTCTTTGGGTAACAATACTTTCCATTATTACTGCAAAAACATAAAGTAACAATAAAAATATATCTTATACAAAAGAGTTTTGCCTTTGTAAACTATTGAATTATAAAGTTGCACCAGATACTAATTGACAAAACCTGTAACAACTGGATTTAGGCAAAGTATCTGTCAGTACCAGTTGTTTACCATCTCTGGCATATAGCCTATGTTCTACTACTGACAAAGCTAATTAGAAGTACAGATATTACACTGCATGCAGAAACAAATTATTCTTCCTTCTTCATCTTTCCTGCATTAGGCCCTTTGGCCTACTTCGAAACAATTCTGAACAATGAACTTTTCAGAAATTTGGTAGGATTCTTTGATTTGGGGTTCAATTCATTAAGCCTCTACTATGACCAAAATAACACAGAAACATATGGAAATACATCCATGCCCAAAGCATGATGCAAAATTGTGGTCCTGTGTTTCAGAAATCCAAGACTGTATGTCTCAGACCATGCAAATACTGTGTTCAGTGCTATTTTTCCTTCTACATTACAAAACATAAATAACATCAGAAAATATTTCACATGAAAGCTACAATATTCATAAGACTGACATTATATAATCATATGATTGAAGATGGTAAACTCCCATTAGACACAACATGTATGAAGAAACGTTTACGATTAGGCACTTTAAACTTACGTATCTCCTATCATAACTGTCCTTTCAGGATTAATAGGATATCTCTTTGAGATGAACTCTTTCATTAACAATCCAGGTTTGCCTGCTACCACAGCTTTACGGCCAGACAGTGCTTCAACAGTCTGGATAAAACAACCAGGACCTGTCAACAAAAAGCACAAATTAATTGTTTCTATAACTTTAACACTGGCTACTTCTACTTCCCTGGTTCTTAACCTGGAAGAGGCAAGCAATCAAAATTTTGGACCAGTAACACTCTTGCAATGAAAACTTATTGCCAACTGCCCAGAAAATGCCACTGACATAAGAGCTTTCAGGTATGTGTCAGAACCTAAATGAAACAGATCAGAATTCAATGAGTAAATGTACATGGTTCAGTTCAGTAAATACACTTAGGTAAGTGCAGACAGAGTAAAACATGTAAGAAACTAGTTACTATGTCTGAATCAGTCCAGCATTAATAGTTAATATCAGATTAAAGGTTAAAAATAATACAGTAGACTATTGATTATCTGAAGGCAGATTATCATTGGATTAAGCACGGAGCTTCTGGATCACATTAAAATTCCAAAGGTGTTCTTCATGTCATGCACTGCTTAATGTTATCTCCTTAAAACTACAAATGAAACAGCAATTGGTAACAGGAAAAAGCTTTCATTTGCTGTCATTATTCTTCATACACTCACATATTTATCATCCTAATTTTCTGAAGTGATATACTTACAGACTAATGTATTCCAGAGGCAAAGATCAACAAACAATTCTGATGTATTTGGTCTTACCTTTTATACTAATATCTTGAACAGGTCTGTACCTCCAACTAAAATGAGAAAATGTGGATTCCTGATACACAGAACCTAACTATAATACAAGTACCTTAATAGTTACCTATAATATTTAAATTATCCTTAACAGGTATTTGCACATCTAAGCCTCCAACAATAAAGAAGCAATCTGGATCCCTAAGGTGTAACACTGCCTTCATCAGCTTGATATAGTTGATGTTCATGTCAAAATCTATGACTACAGCTCCCACATCTTCATCCAAATCATGAATCTCCTTCCTGAAGTCTGGAATGGTTTGCACTGCATGGTCAGGCTGTACAAACACAGATTTTTCCAGTGTCATCCAACATCCTAATCGCAGAATCAATGCATAAACACAAATTTACTAAATACTACCGGCCACAACCAATGACATTTAATTTACATTAAGACCATGCCAAAATAGAGTGGCAATAACCTCAGCTCAAGCTTGTCTTGACAGCATTCCTTTATGCAAATAATAAAGTGATTATGACTGCATCAGATTCTCTCCAAAAGTTACTGCACCATTTATAAGCCCCTTATAAGGGCTGCATCCTTCAATTTCTCTTTCTTGCACATCCTTTCCTCTCCTTCTGGCCAGGATGACATGCCCCACTCTCCTATTAGCTCCCTTGCCCATCCTCACCTTATTCCCCACTGGTCTCATCAAGGTTCTGCCTTGACTGAATGGTTCCTATATCTCAAACCAATTCCTTGTGCACAGCTTACTCATCACCCTGATAATGGAGGCAGCAAGGACCTCTGAAATGCTGATGAACTTCTACCAGACTACACAGTGCTACAACCCAGAAGACAGCTCTGGACTGCACCATTTATCTAAAACTGTCTCAACATATAATCTGACCATCTCTACAGCTAGAACAAAAATATTGGCCCTAAAAGGGAGAGAACTAATAAAGGATAAAATAATAATGAAGAACAATATAACAAAGAATTTATAGACTTTAATTACTTTCGCTGTCAATTGGGTGGTAAAAGAAAATATGATTCACAAAATAAATTACACAGGTTCAATTACGTATACAGAACAATTAAATGCAGTGATTAATAAATCTCAGCAAGAGACAATTTTAAAATTCTTCAAAGTTGTGGCAGTACCAGCTCTCTTATACGACAAGGAATGCTGGAATGTGAATGTTTTGCTGAATAATGGCACAAAAAAACTGAATCTCCTGAACAGTTTCCTGAGATCAGTGACTCATTGTAGAAAAATGAATAAAAAGAGAAAAATAGATACTAGACATGAATTAAACACACTTAATCTAGGAAAGAAAGTAAAATAATACCAATGAAACTATTTGTAACATATTTAAAAACTAACTTATCTTCCTCAGAGGCTGTTTGACTACTAACCTAAAGGAAGGAGGGAGACTTTTCAACTAAAGAAAAGATGGAAGTCAAATCTAAAAGTTCTTGACGATGGTGATGAGTCATTTGAAAAATTTTCTTGGATATTATCCATCGTCTAGTAAAATATAAAATGTAAAACGACGTTTCGGAGATGGGGCTCTATCTTCGTCTTCAGGTCCTACTCAGTTGGGCCCACTAGATAGAGCTAATCCCTATCTCCGAACAAAGTAAAAAAGTGAAAGTCTCGGAATATAACAACATCACCACACCATCCATCCGTGGGATGTAAAAGAATAAAATAGAAATAGTAGAAATAAAATTCGTTAAACACGAAAAAGCCAAATAAAAAATAAAAACAAAGACTCACAAAATGTGGGAATAAATACATATGACAATTAATTTGAAACTCAATGCACAACTTGGACTTCTTCAGAGATGACCGGAATCCAAATACGAGATAAATCCAAACTAGGCTGGCTGATAGGATTAGCAAGTAATGCCATGTGTGCCGCCTCCTTGTATTTCCTGTAGACTGTATTAGGTTCTGTAAGTAATATAATAAGTATAATATCAGGACGATTTTTAAAACCAGTCACACTCTCCGTGGTTTAATGATGTCCATGAGACCCAGAACAGTCGGGAGACAGACTAGGCAGTGTGTGTACGGGATCCCTTGTCATTGCGGTAGATGGTATATCGGCGAAACTAGCAGACCTCTGGAGGTACGCATAAAGAAACATAAATATAACTTCAGACAGAGCCTGCTGGAGAAATCCAGATTGACCCAACATGCATATGAAGATCATCATGTCTGTTGGGATGGAGCCAGGGTGTTACTTACAGAATTAAAGATTAGCTCTATCTAGTGGGCCCAACTGAGTAGGACCTGAAGACGGAGATAGAGCCCCATCTCCGAAATGTCGTTTTACGTTTTATATTTTACTAGACAATGGATAATATCCAAGAAAATTTTTATTCAAAAAAATGGAAGGATCAATTCAACTAACCTGAAGATTGAAGTAGGCCACAGATTTTATGTTAACCATTTCACTGTTGTGGACAGAATTCTTCCTCAAAATACAATGTGTTAATGTGATTAAAACTACTTTCCTTACTTACTAGTATAGACCAACGCAAATCATAAAATATGTGATATATATATATATATATAGTAGTCTGAGATTTGAACCCTCTATCTTCTGAGTACAACTTTAAAGACTTACCTCTACAACATGATTAGTTTTATTGTTCACTAGACATGGATTAAACAATGTAGAACAACTTAGTTTATGTCAAAACAAAGTCATATACAGCAAATGCTGAAATATCAGGAAACAACAGAAAATGAAAAATCATTATAATATGAGAAAGAAGCTAAATATGTGAGAATAAGTTCATCAACATACTTACCAAAGAATGAGCTTAAGAATTTTCAGCATTTACATTTCAAATCAAAACCAGAGCATAATATATTTACAAAATTGACAAAAAAATTAATATAGAAAAGGGAAGAAACAGAATGCTTACTCCAACATCATTACTAAACATTATTTCATTAGATTTCAATATTTCTTTCATAGCTGAAGATGCAAGAACATACGCTTTCTTCTTAAAGTTTTGTTCTTTCAGATATGATGCTGCCACAAGTGTAGGAAAGATAATTTCATCCTGCAAGAAATAAATGGCATAATGAAATACAGCAGAACAAGAATAAATTTTGAATTCAAACAAAAAACCCATCATGATGACTTATGCAACACTAGGTTCTGGGAAGAACTTATGACATCGAACTCATCGCTGTGAAAACTTCAAATCCTACTTATGACATCCATTTCATACTACTGTAACTTTTATTTTTTTTAGTTTATGTAATACATTCTAAAATATGTAAGTTATATAGCACTGAATGATAGGATGACTATGAATTAAAAATTAAGAAGATGTAAACTATTTTATGGTACCATCCCAATAATGACCTGTAGAAACAGAAGAAAAAACTGTCAGAAAAACTGGAATTCGATGACACCAACAATTTAAAGAGTATTCAAGGGCATTCTCCAAACAACTTCCAGTGCCACCAGCACACTTATGACTGAAGCTCCACAATGAGCCAGATTACATTTTGTATTATAGTGACGACTGACTGAGGAGATGGATAAATGTCTGTCATCAGTCCCTATAGAGTTACATGAAATCCACAAGAATTTTTCATGACAGTAAAAGTGTGAAATATGGCTTTCTGGATTATAATTGCAAGTATCCCTGAAGCTGGAGGTTATACACTCCTCCAAACATTGGTAACCACTTAAAAGACTACAGTGTCACAACCCATAAGACCACAATCCATGAATTTATGTTTTTCACTGTGTTAAAGACAATATCTCAGTTTTCAAGGTAATATGATGCATGTTTCATTTATTAGCAGTTGTATTAATATGTACTAATGAGCTGGCCTAGTACACAAACAAGCACCTAACCCAACTGACAGTCTAACTCTGGAAACTAAGTGTAGCAGATACAGCCATCGGACTGTCTACAAATGCTGGCTGATCAAGCTCAGAAGCTTTGTATGTGTATGACGGAAGGTATGTGCTTTGACTCCACAATATGACTGAATAAATAAGTATTAAATAAGTAGGCAAGTAAGTATATTATATATTAATGGTTGGTATCAACACTCCAACAAATTATACTTATTTATAAAACCATTTCAGTATTTTACATCTATATATAGAAATCTGACTTGATGTAAACCAACATAATGATCTAATCTGTAACTCTCTGTATACCTACTAGATAAAACTTCCCAACTCTCTTATTGAAAATCTTTTTCCTCCATCCCTTCATACTCCCAAATATGCCACAGTTCTACTTTCCCAGGAATCTTACAAATTCCCATTTCTAATCTCCTTCCAATCCCACTCAGTCTCCATACACTGACCTTTCACCACATTTTCTCTCTCTTTCTACCCTTGTTTATATTTCTATATACTCCTCTCTCCCACCTTATTTTCAAATCATTGCCATTTCTATTTCATCACATCTTCTTGTTATCACTCTCCATACTTTTCTACCATTTATTTGTCTGAATATTCCTCATCCCCACAATTGCTTCAGTTCTTTCTCTATTCTCCTTAACCAATTATGCTTATATCTTAATTGCATCATGCTTGTGTTCCTCAATACAGTACTTTTATTTTCCGTCGTTACACAAGCTTATTGTTAAAATCATATAAAATTTCACATATTTCACAAATTTTATATGATTTTAACAATAAGCTTGTGTAACGACGGAAAATAAAAGTACTGCAATTATGCTTATTGCCTTATAGTTAATACCTCAATGCATTCCCAACTGGGTATGACTGATCTACCTCAAATAATGTCAACCAACATATAAATCTTTCCAATACCTTCTTCTTTCTGTTTGTTCCCCACAGTTCTCTCCATTTGCTACTGCCCCTGGGACCCTATTACTTTCTTACAAAATGACTCATTCTATGTAAACATGTATTAATATAACGTGAAATTAAGTTCTCATGACAGACACAATGCCCACATTAGTCATCTGGGAAGCAATGCCATGGCATTACTAACTATAAAACCAACATGAACATATTAATACTATTCAATTCTGCCTTACCCACAATACCACCTTTTTCTCTTCCTCCCACTTGGCTCTACTATTCAGATTAACTACTACATATATATTTTAATTTATTTCATTTTCCACTTCTTTATCCAAGTTACTATCTCACATTCTTACATACATACAGTCCCTTCAATCTTAAATGTAGTTCTTTTTTCTTAGCTGTATTTATCATCATTTCCCATTATAATAAGTTCCTTCACAGTTTAGAATACCAATACGGGATCAGCACCTACAGCTAAATCAGTCATAAAAAACAGCTTAGGAACCTGTCTCCTGGACTCATTCAATTCTGTTAGCACCTCATCAATGAATATATTACATAAAACTGATAATACACAACCTTGTCTCAAACCTATATTATAATCAAATTCTTTCACCATGTCCTTTTTCATTTATTTTCAACTCTATAAAGTGTATAATCATTAACCTACAGTTTCAGCTAGTCTCATATGGATTGAACTTTATGAAGAAAAGATCTATTCAGAGTTTCTTCTATTAACAGTATATATAACCAATGATGGTTTCAAATAATTATCCTACCTTTGTTACATTTATTCCAAATGTACTGGCTTTCTTAACAAAACCATCCAGTGTTAAAGTACAGTTGTTTGAAACAAGAAACACTTTCTTCCCCAGTTCCTTCAGTCTGTTAATAACATGTGCTGAACCTTCCAGTGGGGTATCAGTAAGCCAAAGTACACCTGAAATAATATATACATACACAATTTTCATCAACACCCTACAGACTATGAGAAATTCTCATTCATAGCATTGAAAGATCTGTTGAATGATTTACAGATTATTTAAGAACACTTTTGTCACTTGCAGATATTCCTTATTACTGAACAACATTACAGAATAATTATGTACAGAAAAATGGAAAAGACTGGACTGGAAGCCTATGTCCAAGTATTAACTTAGCATTTTCCTGGAAGAACACTTAGGAAAACCTTTGAAAACCTAGTCATGATAGCTAGTATCCCCAATGAAATTACGCTCATGTACCTTTTAAATACAAGTTAGCCTCCTAACCTTCTTATACCAAGGATCACTTGATTCCCATGCAACGAGCAACTCTGAAGTGTCAGGCTTTTTCCATGAGACTAAATGGCACATCATCTCAGATGACAGTCATCTTCAATGTATAAATTTTATTTTGTAATAACCAACTCTTTAATTCAATGTTATTAGCACACTGTGCCCTCTTCCAATTTTATATTCTTTCCCCTGTATATTTCAGGGATATATGGGGCACTTCCCATGGTCTCAACATAAATAATACACATTTTTAAAGCTCATACTTTGTTGTGATATTAATTTGAAGAATTGTAACTGTTGAAGAAACAACTTTTCAAAGATGTGAAAGTAAAGTAGACCCTGTGTGTCTGGATATACATGGGAAATGTAGAAGTGAAGTACCACATATTACAAATTCTGGATTTTCCTATAGCTGATTATTAATGCTTATAATGTGATTATAATCAATCAGTCCTAGACTTGTTTCTCAACACTTACCTTTTAACCTAGCAAACATGCGTATAGATGATGACAAGCCTGAATTCAAAAAGGGAGAAAGGTGGCTACAACTAGAAACCAAGCATTGTATTTAAAACAATGATTTCCTTTAAACTATATCTCAATAAAAAATATACATGAGAGGATTTTTCATTCATCGCACAGGTTATCGTTGTTCTTAATTAGATTGTATGTTTACACCTTAAGGCTGTGCAAGTAATTATTACAACATCCAATGGTATTTACATAGAATTTACATTTCTTATCTCATAACCTCATGAGACAGTTGAGTGAGACTTTAAAATGAAATAAAAATAAGGTTGTTACAGTATGATATGAAATTGATAAATAACAATCTTACCATCACAATCTGTTAAAACGGTATCGAAAGATGCGAGGAAAGCATCCATTTCTTCTTTGTGGAGAGTTGAAAGATCACGGAGATATTGTGTCATATTAATCTACAGAAAGAATTCGTTTCTCTAATACGTAACTTCTCTACCAACGTACTACGTTCCCAGCACGTATATGAATGGTTAAGATAAAGCTCATAGGAACTTTTGTTGACGTAGTCATGCTTAGTCAGTCTCAATTTTATTTTTATTCAAGGTTATGTGTCGAAACGTGCTTGCTATCTCCTCCACTTCACACCTCGGACTCTGACCACGTGTATGTTGTTGACACTTTGACCCACGTGTCTTTCACCAATCACATGTGGCCGATGACGAAATGATGCTAGTGTAAATGGCAAGAAGTATTACGATATGAAACGTTCTTACCACAAGCCAATTATTGTAAGTATTGAAATATTAATTTCGTTTGATAGGTCTTACTGCTTAGTCATATACGCTCAACACATATGAAAGAAATAGCAGGTGTTGATATTGACTTTGTTTTGTGCCTAACCTCTTCGAACCCTGCACGGGACTGGCAAAATAACCACACCGAATCAATACAATGTAATTATGACATTTACGTCGAAGTGGTTACGAAACATCGACAATCATGGACGAGTCTTTCTGAGTATAAAGATTAATAAGTACAACTAGAGCTCAAATTAGACCTTTCTGTTTATTATTGCAAGAGTTTGGTCATAGTTAATATATCATTATAATGGTATTTTATTAAGAACCCAGTCAAGTCGTCTTTCATTTATTCCCATTTTTCTGAAGCAATTTCACACGTTTTATTGAGTTTTCCACATACATTTTGAATAGTATATCTAGTTTTGGGATGCCAGACAACTATATTTATTCTATGAAATTTGTCAGAAACATGAATCAAATTATCATGAGTAGTACATTTTTAGTAAAACTAGAATTTAATTTCACAGTGAGGTACAGCAGCTGTTAATAAAAAACAAATATACTGATCAAGTATGGGTAGGTAGGACATAAAACATACATAAAATCCCACCCACATTTTGCCAACATCACTAATGTCAGAAACAAACATTTAACAATCAAGTCATGTAGGTATAATAAATATATCTTATGTTTGTTAGTCTTTTTTGGGCAATCATATGATTTATTCTCCCATTCTTGTTTTTTAATATATTTAACAAAGTTGTATAACCTTAATGAAACCCTGTGGTTAATATCAATTGGCCAGGTAAGTCTGAATGATGAATTTGGAAAAATATGAGAGGTAATTGCATGCTTTGTGTTACTTACTGAACTGACATTCTCTGGAGTGCTTTACAAAACCATGAAACATGTCAAGATAACTGTTGCCCTTGATAAGATTCACACTAGGTTGACTGATTATTACCACTGTGCTAAATTTTGACTATTAATATCAGTTGAAACTTACATAATGTTCCTAAAGAGACTTTGGTTGTTACATGCTGTTGTATCACTGTGAAAGAATAATCAAATGGGAAAGAGCAACCAACAGCACAATTCTAAAATATATTTATTCTAATCTTCCACTATATGTTTCAACTTGTTAGGTTATTCTTCATGTGGAGTATGTACATATACATGTTTAGTCATTACTACAATAATATAAAGAAGACTGTTAGACCTAATTGAATACAGTCAAATTAAGTAACAGCATACCAATTCAATAGTGATATATATATACACACACACACACAAACAAGGCTGTCTTTTGGGTTGTTGCGCCAAGTAGTCTAGTAGATTACCATTTCAGAGGTCCTTGCAGCCTCCATCATCAGGGTGATCACCCTAAATCCCAGAAGAGTCATCTTAAGACTCACCACCTTGAAAACCTCATATCCTATATGTATACAGCATACTACATCTGAAGAAGACCATAACAGGAAGAAACACGGTGGTAGCTTGGAAAAATACATATATTCTACAACTGCTGTTTTGAGGCCACTTCACTGTATTTTATTTTATTCTAAAAGACATTTTCAGTCAGGTGAACCTAAAATGTATTCTGCCATTAGCAACACAGCAGTATAAGCATACTTTTGGCAAGTGCATATGGTTTTATGCAAATAGCACAGAAGTGCGTTTACTTTTCCTTACTGAAGATTATTATTGTTTTTTGCTGATGTCTGTAGTTTCTATATCTTTGTCATTATTTTTCTTAAGGTTTGTGTCTGTTTCAGAATCTTAAGTAGCCTGAAATATGGGTTCTGAAAGGAGCTCTGGTAGCATAAAAGATGCAGCAATTGACTTTTCTGCAGGTTCATTAGGTTTGTTAGAAATATTAACACAGCACTTTAGTTATTTATAATAGAACCAACATATTGATCAGAGTAATTAAGCAGTGGCATTTTATGAAACATGGTTTATTAATATACTGGGCATTATTAAATCCATGATATAGGTTCTTCCATGAACATCAGCTCAAAAAATTTCTGCCTTTACAGAAACCACAGCAATTACTATTTACATATTTCCAGTAGCTTGTGAACATTTTTTCAATGTAATTTATCATGTTGCTAGAGCTGACACAATAACTATTTGGATATTCAGCATTTATCGTAGTGGAACAGACTGTGATGGTGTGAACTTGATTTAACTGCTTCAAGAGAAAGTGGAGATTTTGTGAACAGTGATGAAAATTCAGGTTCTATAAAAGCAGGGAATTTCTTAACCAGATGAGTAATTATCATGTTAACGGAACAACTTGTATATATGTATGTTTGTAACAATGGTAAAAATAATACAGAGAATAGTGTATAATGCAAATGAGCCTATTTATAGGTCTAATGGTTTCACAGTTTATCACAGTTGTTGGAGAAGATGAATGGTTCAGATTTGTCACATTACTGCTAATCAACAAGTAAAATTCAATCCTATAGTTTATAGGTATTTAAGATCCAAATAATACATTCATGTTACCTGTAATTTCAGGTGGTGTGGGACTGGTGTACGTTGGTCAGCCCCTAGACACCATTAAAGTGAAGATGCAAACATTTCCAAACTTGTACCAGGGTATGGCTGACTGCTTTCGACAAACGTTAATGAAAGAGGGAATCACCAAAGGATTATATGCTGGAACACTTCCAGCTGTTGTTGCTAATGTAGCTGAGAATTCTGTACTGTTTGCTGCATATGGAACATGTCAGAAAGCAATGATGATGCTGACAAAAAAGGAGGTCTGATACACAGAGATAATACATAGGTTTTAATTTAATTCACTTCATCTCCTATGAATTTCATTGGATACATGCACATTTATCCAAACACTCCACTGAAACAATTTTTTTGAAATCTCAATACAGAACAAGATTGGAAAGGTACATGCTTTGGAGTACACTAAAATTCCAAAGGTGTTCTTCATGACATCTTATGCTTTGACAGCAGTAGGGGGTTTCATTGATAATCACAGCTCAAAGGAACTGTGTACTTGTATCACTCTTACTTCAAAGGAATAACACAAACAACAATGATATCCAAGGCTATTGTTGTGATGTAATGAGGTCACTGTTGTGAGACAATAATGATCTCAGTTTATATTCTTGCAATAAAGCATTCCAACAATATCCTTGATTCCCATTGTTGAAATAAAATGTTCCAGCTATTACCTTGGATCATGCAGGTCATCTAGTTCCTAGGAAAAACATGAGAAAGATGGATGTGGATGGAACCCATAAAGTGTGAAGAACATCTACAAACAAGAGAAACCATTGAAATTAATGTACAAAGTTCAATAAATGCAAAACATGAAATTGATACATATTTTTGATTTCTCAAAGCATGTTCCATGACCTGCGAAGGTTTTCTGGTAATTAGACAATATCTCTTAGAGAAACAAATGTGAGTTGTCATTGATGATAGACCATGCTCACTTGATTGCTATCTTTGGCAGTGTGTATGCTGAAGAACATTACACTGGAACTGAATTCTTGAAAGAAATAAGGAGCCTACAATTTTCAGTACTTTTACATTCAAAGTTAAGATAATTGCTAATTTTCAGAAATCAGAAGACTTGAGCACCTTGGCCAATGCATCAGCAGGTTTCTTTGCTGCATTCTTTTCCTCCTTCACTCTGTGCCCCACAGAACTAATCAAGTGCCAGCTGCAAGCCATGAGAGAAGTGCAGATGCAGTCTATCACAAACGACAGCCATCGTCAGACGGTATGCATGGCATCTTCAGAAGCAGTGTTGTCCTTTTTCTTTAAAGTATATTTTATGCTGACCCAGTGTGCCTCATTATACTTGTACTAACAAACAGAACTAATGTTCATAATGAAATTATAATAAGAATAAGTCTGGGAAATGCTTACTACACTTCAGTTAAAAAATGTTTCATCCCAACTACTTTCCAAAGCAATAAAGTTATGAAGATTTCTGTCTTCTGGGTTGTTGCGCTGTGTAATCTGGTCGACCAGACTACACAGCGCAACAACCCAGAGGACAGAAATCTTCACACTCACTGCTGTGAAAACCTCAAATCTTACACAATAAAATTATGTGTGTGTGTGTGTGTGTGTATGTAAGAATATAACAATTTTATCAGTTTATTAGTTTGTATAGTTATGAAATGTGATCTCTTACTTCTTTGAGGGAAGAACATTTGGACCAGAGGCATAAAGTAAGTGCACTTAAATTAAGGATAAGGAACTTAGTGATTTGTACCAGGTACTTAGTATTGTGTCGATGATTAAATCTAGGTGGTGATAACAGATTGGGTATATAGCTGGGATGGGAGACAAATACATACAGAATTTTGATGGGGAAACCTCTTGAGAAATTGCAACTTGTAAGACTACAAGGTCTGCCACAAAAAAAAACGAGACTGTGCCTGTAACTCTTTTTATTTAACAAATTCAGAAAATCAACTATGATCGCCTTCAAAATAGTTCCCTTCTGAGTTGACACACTGCTGCATACGATGCTGCCAATGTTCAAAGCAATTCCACAGGTCATGTTCTGTAAGGCTGTTGAGGATCTCCGCTGTTTTTGATTTCACAACTTCTACCGACAAAAAATGGGTTCCTTTGAGCACCGACTTCATCTCTGGGAAGAGGTAGAAGTCGCAGGGAGCGAGGTCTGGCGAATAGGGTGGGTGGTCAAGCACAGTGATGTTTTTATTAGCTAAAAATTGCTTCACAGACAAGGCGTTGTGGGTTGGCGTATTGTCCTGGTGCAAAATCCACCCGTTTCTCCATAATTCCGGTCGTTTCTTTCTCGCACGTTCACGCAATTTTGTCAAGGTTTCAATGTAATACTGCTGATTTACCGTCTGGCCACTGGGTACCCACTCTGCCATCACAATACCCTTGATATCAAAGAAAACAATCAACATTGCCTTGAACAGCTGTGCGTGGATGTCCTGGGCAATCATCATCTTTCACACATTCTCTGCCTTCCAAAAATCGTTTGTGCCATTCAAAAACGCGTGCACGAGACATGCAATCTTCACCGTAAGCCTCAGTCAATAATTGAAAAGTTTCCGTCGCGGATTTCTTCAGTTTAACAAGAAACTTGATGTTAACTCCTTGTTCACTTTTGCAGTCAGACATTTTCCGGCTGAGGGTAAAAACACATCTGTACAAAAACACTCGTCCACTGCTACGGAGTGAAGCAAACAAGTTGAAACTTGCGTCACTGGTAGAGGACAGATCAGGGTCAAATATGGTCTGCTTATTTCGCCCTCACCATAATTGTTTGCCTACTTACAGCATCAGTCTCGTTATTTTTGTGGCAGATCTCGTAGATAACTTTAAGATGGATCTTCTGGAAACATGTTGTAAGGGATGTGACTCATGATCATTCCTCTTCCTGTACAGTTCTGTTTAGTGAAGAGCTTGAATAAATTCCACTGACTTTCATTTTTAATTTTCTTATCACTACACTATGTGAATGTTAGCCGACTCTTCACTTAATTTACAGATTGGCCCATGGAAACTTACACAGAAGATAATCCAACAGGAGGGAGTCCAAGGCCTGTTCCGAGGATTAGGAACGACAATAGCTCGTGAAATGCCAGGATACTTTTTGTTCTTTGGAGGTTATGAAGCCACTCGTGATCTACTTACACCAGTCGGGAAAACAAAGGATGAGATTGGTATGGAACTGTGTATTTAACAATGACCCCTAGGATTCAACATCACTATCAGTGGTACATTAATTTGCAGCTGAAAAGCATTGTTAAATAACCCAGAGTTAACACTGCTAATATCAAATCCCGAGCCAGTTTCATCTACCACCTATCCACACAATGCATTTCCCTAAAAACCATCTTAATATTATACCATCTCCTTCTCAGTCCTCCAAGTATAAGTTTTAAAGAGGTTTCCCCACCAAAGTTTTGATCCATTTGTCTTCCGTGCTCCTAGATTTCAATTTCCTAACAATATTAACAGAACGTTAGTCAAAGCATTAGCGTATCTGCTTCAAATATGCGAGGTCAGACTATCTTTACAGGTTCTCATCATTTTCCTCAGTGCCTCCAGTAAATGCTGGAACAGTACCTTAAAACATGCCATTACCAGTTTCTTTCATATAATGTCCAGTTACTCATCATTCATAGAAAGATCCTACAATTTGATGCTACATGAACCATTCAATTTAGAGGTGTGATTAAACAGCCCAGAAGCAGTTACTCAGTCATCCTAGGAACAGTGTATGAACCACAAAGATTCTCAGTATGCACTTTGTTTTCAAGGACTTGGAAATTATATTATTCTCCAAAAATAACAGACCATGTAATTAATCTTCTCTGAAAGGTTGTAACCGAAAATGGTGTTTCTTACAGGTCCACTGCGGACAATGATATCTGGTGCTGTTGGAGGAATTGTGTTCTGGATTGTAATCTTCCCTGCGGATGTTGTTAAGTCTCGGATACAGGTTTCGAGACTCACTGGTTCCCTGTTGTCCATTATGGTACAGATATTCAGACAGGAAGGTAAGAGTTTCATACAAATAATACAGAAACTGAAAGACAAACACATCATCAAATCTCTGATAACAGGAACCAAAACCCATCACCAGATCCTTCCTTCAGTCATTTGACACGCTTATAACCTATTTTTCTCCCTCTTAGATTAAAATAACTGTTATAAGAAATTTGTTTCTTAAGTGCTTACAAAGACTTAAAGTAAAATCTATGCCATGGAAACATACAGTGACAGAGTTGTGTGGCGAGGACAAGAATCCATAGCAATCCTTTCTGTAACCAGTCACTTTACTGACAGTTATCAGAGCTCATGTGGTATATATAAAATATTACAGAGAACATTTGTATGGTTAAAGTAAATCTGAGCTCTCCCAATTAGCTTTTATTTCAATATTCTATGCTTTCAGGCTATCAAGCCCTCTACAGTGGATTACAACCTACATTAGTGAGAACAATTCCAGCAACCGCAACACTATTTCTCCTATATGAAACAACAAAGAAGGTTCTGCACGAACTATGTGACTGAAAAATGTTGTTAACAGTGGGAATTGTCTGGATTACTGTACCAGAACCCAACTGCCATGTGGGAGTTTTCCCTGTCACATATCATATGACAAATTCATTTACCGCAAGTGTTCTGATATTATAACGTTCCATATTGACTTTCATAATTATCTTTATGCAATACATACGCCTTTGTTTCTGGAACAGAAAATTAAGAAAAATTAACACTTTTAATGTTATGAATGGAATATATCCACTGCGAGGAAAAGTACACCATGGATTTTACATGAAATCATGTAATATACAGAGTACTGTAACATCAGTAATTTGTTTAGTTTTATGTTCACACAAAGTTATGAAGTTTTCTTTTCTGCATTTGTAATTGACACTGATGTCCACTTATTGTAGCTACAAATACTACACTTCGACTAGATGAATTAATCATTTTTGCTGGATTTTATGCATTTATTATATTAGTAAGATCATGACGACAATGAAAGTTTGTCAAAATTGGACCAGCCATTTCAAAGTTATAAGTATACACCCATCGAAAACTATAGTATATTACTGGACATGTTTCCTTAGGTGTCCACATATTATATCTGAAACTACTAAATTCATTTTTAATAAATCTGGAACCTGGTGTGTGATATGCTTCAAATTAAATTGTCAGAAGTTTTAGTACCATTCATACTACTAGTAGATGTATTTGAAACACGAATCCATACAGATAAAAAAAACCCAATGATTCATCACTTAACAACAAGAGTAAAAACATTGCACAGCTGGTAAGTTCTTACTTACAATTTTTGTAATAATTTATCACCCCCAAAAACCACATAATTTTCTAAACCTATCACAATACCAAACTTCAAGATTGTATCCTGAATGACACTGACGACATTACCACCTCATATGTTTTCACTGCCATCATGCTGGTATGTTAATAACAAGAAGCTGAAAAGTACCAAGATGGTGTGGCCTTGAATGGCATGATATTTGTAGTTTTTTTAATCAGAAAACTGTTAGTAACTAATAATTTATGTTAATAAATCAGTGGATAGACCAAAAACACAAGTGGTTTACATGGTTCCAAAGAAGGAATTTTATTCCTTCAAAACCCTGAAACAAAATATGTTCTACTTTCAACCCTTATATAAATGCTCCAAGACAAGCACCATTATCAGAGGAATGTAACTTCCTCAGCTGATACAACATAATTCAGAATACAATCAATCTGTACTAAAAATCATACGTGTATATAATTAAAGCTCAATCACCTATCTAGCTTTGCTGCCAATGCCACAAAACAGATCACATAGCTGTACAGGACACTCTGTCTTGAAATTCCTCCCAAATCTTCTTTGCTAGGTACTTTTCTTGCTCCTCTGCAGGCAGCTGCTTCCAATCAAACCATGGAACCTAAAAATACAAAAATATGATATATATAAAACATATATTGAATGAATGAATATAATTTAATCTATATTGTAAAGAAACCATGAACTGAATTTCAAGAAATGTAACTTACAACTACAGGCTTGTAACCTAATAACTGTAGGTGTCGTAACTTGGAAGACATGGAACCAACAGGTTTGTTTAGTATTTTGATGTAAGAATTCCATCCACCAATGACAATGCAGTACCATTTTGTATCTTGAAAATCTGGAGGCCTTTTGCAGGTTCCAATTTCAAGTTTTCGGAAGGAAGGTGGAATATTAACGGCTGAACCATCAGCACGAATACCATACACAATATCTGTAAACAAATAGAAGATGAGAAACAATTGAAAATAAACTGATCTTAGATGGAAGATGGCTGTCTTCTGGGTTGTAGCATCTTGCAGTCTTGTAGAAAACTCAATACAGTAACTCACCACGGGCTGGATGACTTGGTTTTTATTCCCAGAAGGGGCAGGGATTTTTCTTTTTATTCCCATGTCAAGACTGACTCTGAGGAGTCACTGTACCGAGCTGTACTGGCTTTATGGCCTCATAAAGCATACCCAGCCTCTTATCCAGTGAATATTATTAACTCTTTCAGTGGATGGAAAGTGCTCAGAATGTGAACTTGACCACTCACTTCCATCTCATGCTGATGCTGTTGTGCTTCATTAAGCACAGGAATGACTATCATTATACCTTTACCTTGTCAATTACATAACAGATTCCATGGTTCCCAAGGTTCTTCACATGTTTATAGAAACCTGCCATTAGACCTGTCCTAAACCAGTTCACATTTTCCCCAACTTGCTAAAGAAACATTTTAATACTCTCCTCCAATCTCTGGTGATTGTTGCTATTTATTTATATCTAATTCCCTTTGTAGTCACTATTTATGAGAGTCAACACTATAAGTATTACAACAACAGACAGTCTGTTTTTAACAATGAATGAATGAATGCAAGAAAACATAGCTATTGGAAACTCTACAGACAATTCTGGTGGAAGAAGACAAAGCAGATAAGACACAGTACCATACTATTACTACTAGATGGAATGTACTTCATTCAATGACCTGGATCTTCCAAAGTATCAAATAGAACATGAGAAACAACACCTTCACAATCATGTAGCAAAACCCAACACACAGCTACACCAAGCAGTTTCTTCCTTTCACGTTTCCCAACCATACTTCTATACCGGTTACAAAAGAACAGCCTAACAATAATGTAAATTTAACATGTCTTAACAATCTTTGAGTGTAAGCAACAAAGATGTAATTTTAAACTGACCCAGTATTAATCATAAAACTCATATAAGGAAACAAAATTCTGGATTTAATGCACAACAGTGATTGCTGTGGGAGTATTGTAACCTGGAAATTAAACTTTAATTGCAATTCATAGCCATGAATCTACAAGGTCAACAACATCATTCACAGAAATACAACACGAGTCATCTTTGCTGGATATTGTCCACTGGAAGCCTCTTATCCACACACTCCGAGGACGAGCAAGAGTGCGCCGCCAGAACCAACCAGACCACTAACTCGGCCCCTTTCAGGGCCTTTATCCATACAACTAAACTCACCTTTCTCTCTCTACTTTCTCTCCCTCTCCCACTCTCGCCCACGTGCTACCATTGGTCCAGCCTATAAAATCCAACTCCTCACACCCTATTGGCATATTCATCGCCCTGATGACGGAGGCAGTATGACCTCTGAAACGTTGGTTAACATCGACCAGACTACACAGCGCAATAACCCAGAAGACAGAAATCTTCATATCTGATATACATAGCATTTCAGGGGTTGGCTCTGCTCCCATCTTCACTAAAAAACCTGACAGATCTGGTTTGTTGTGTAAATGAAAAGCAACAGGCATCAATGCGAATCATAATAAATCAATTACAGTAAACTACAATGTTAATAATAATAGGCTACGCTTATCAATCTATCTGCATATTCTTACCTCAGAGTAAGAAATAAGAGATTCTCATCTATGACAAGTCATATATAAAATTAAAATTTTATGCATCTGAAGCGTCATGTTCTTTTAAGACACACAATAAGATGAGATACTCTGAAATGAATTGTAGGAAGCATTTCCCATTTCAATTTGTTCTGGTCTCCACATGTAAGCCTGTTTAAATCCTGTCCAATGACTCTTTTCTCTCAAGATTTTAATGATAATATTCATGGTACTGACAGGTTTGGCTTTGTATACATTTAATTTCTTAGATAATCATGCTCAGATTAATGAACCAAAACTCATAGACCTCCCACTGTCACTATTAACATTCATACATCTTGATTACAATCTTCCCTCTCAAATGATGCCTTTTATACTGTGTTCCAAAACACTGCCTGGTATCAAAACCTTTTCAGTAGTGAATCCTCCTTATTGAGTCTTAGCTATCTGCATTATGTCACTAGTTAAATCTTAGTTTTACACATGGACCATCCCTGGCAGTCACTAAACTGGAGTGGAGTTGACACATTATATATTTAAAGATCTGTACAGTGGGAATTTCTAAAAACTGGATCAACATTCCTCCTCCCCACACTAAAGCAGAGGTACATGTACAAAATATGGCTTTTCCCTTCCACGGTTCCAAGTTTACAAGATTAGCATTTAAGGTCTAGGAGCAATAAACAGCCTCAGCTGAGATTCAAACCACCATCTTCTCAAATGCAAGAAAGACACTCCTACAGTAGGCTAAGTCATCAGTGACTTGAATCTTCCTGTTATTTTACCTGAGGTTTACCATGTGCAAACATACATAAGCATGAACATACCTGCACGTTCTCTATGTGGAATGAGATGCCCTAAGTGCACCTTTTCATTACCACCAAGAACGGAAATAGCTGCAGAGATGACCTCAAACAGAATCTTGTCTGTTGCACTTAGTTTCCTTCCAACCAAATCTTTATACTCCCAGATACTATCAGTGTATATCTACAACAAATAATATAGTTAATATGTTCATTACACAACAAGAAAGAGGGATGCAAATATGCATACAATTCAAACAAGACCCTATATAGCTGATAGCTACATGGTACCAAGGACTGTCATGCAATTTATGTTAAACCAATCTGAGTCATCTGCTTTCATACCGTCATGAAAACAAAGTGTTCAAACTGGTTATTTAATTTCACTAATATTTTTCTGTATTTTTAAAAAATGGGATACCACAAACCCAAGGATCACATTTTGCAGACGCAAATTAGGGACTTGGCTTTTTAAAGTGTCCAGTTATTTCAAATGAAGTAGACAGTGCTGCCAAGTCACAGACACAATGCTGAAGTTTAGTCATACATGATAGTCAAGTTAAGCAAAAGATGATGCAACATCACTATGTCATAGCCCCAACTTTTTTTTCAGCTTAACAAAGTGACACTCGTGTACCATTTTGTCTGAATCGTAGTATAGGTTTACCAAAATCTGATCAAGTGTATATCTTGGGCTTTAGAATGGCACATAATATATTATACGAACATTTATTCACAGGTTATTAAACCCCAAAACAGGCAGTTGATGATTTATTTCCTGAAAGTGCAACTGTCATCACTTGAGTATTATGAATCACATTTTCAACTACAATAGTTAAAAAGCATTAACTGGTAGGACGATTATGAACAGGAAAGGATTTAGAAGGAAGCAGTTGTACCCTACTTACAGGCACTGTCATAACATTTGCCTGAAAGTGCAGAAGAAAAATATAAAACAGCGACTGGGTTGCTGACCACTTTAATTACAGGGTTAATGTTATGTCAGTATTCTAGTGAGACAAATGGCCAAATGAACTATGCACAAATTATGACTCAACAATAAAAGTCACACTTCAGTATACCTTTCTACTCTCTTTTTATCCTAAGAACCTCAGCCTCCTACAACCTATATGAGTATTCGTATATTTAATTAAAACAAAAGTACTGGTTATGGAAAAGTAAATTCCTTACTCTCAATTGCCCAGCCTTTCACATTTCTTGAATAATTAAATAATTTACCTTTGCTAGAATTTTTCTAAGTTTGGGGTCAAGTCGGGTTCCATTATATTCAGGGCATTCTAATTCCACACTCAAGTCCAAACTTAGGATCTCTCGACCAACTTTATGACTGTTTCTCCCTGAAAAAACAGTTTAAAATTACATAACATAAGAAAAAAATTTAATGTATTGTATCTAGCTGGGGGGAGGGGGTGAGACATTAACTAACTGGCTACAGACTAGACAACTAAGATTTAACTACTGGCAAGGGCAAGAATTCTCTTCACCACCACTGTATCTAGACCAGCTCTAGGCTCCACCCACTACAATCAGTACCACAGACTTTCTCTACAGACAATGACTGGAACATGACAGTAATTATTTACCTCTGTACAGTGCTGATGTTAAGACTGAGTGGAGATAAATGTCCACTTCCCTAAACAACTTCAGGGCATGGTGTTTAAGCACATGGACAACATTTTCAGTACCTAGTTGACAGCCAACTACACCCAGACAAATGTGGTTATGAAAGGAAGATACAGTAATGAACAGACCAGTATTTGTATCAAATCCATGGTACATTCATGTATTTTAATGGAGCTTTGTTAATTGATTTTTCAAAACACAACACAGAATATAATCTCAATCC